AATGGTAACTTTCTAGAGAACTTAATATTTAACATGCTCAATTTAGTAATTGATTTTACATGTCTCTTTTTTTGTCTGTTGTGTCCCTGTTGCCAGTCTACAAGTTTTCCAGGGCAGGGGCCATGTCTCCTTTCTTTTTATCTTCTTTGACATCTAGCATGGTGACTTGATTTACAATTTATTGCTCATCTAATCACGCTATCTGTTTGTCCTAGCTTGATAGTTTAGCAAACTGTAGCAGCAGGAAAGGGACTAAAGAGGAAAAAGAACATTTGTCCCACTTTAGTCACTTTATTCCAGTCATAAATGCTAGTAGAAATAAATGAACTCAATGTAAAGAGCATATTTATGTTTATGTATGGAGGAAGGTGGAGTTAAGGAAAGAGATGAAGAAGATACAGGAATAGGTGGTCGTTTCTTTTGCACATAGTTAGGAATATTGGTTTCTGTGCCATTGCAGAAAGAAAACAAGAGGAATACCTGCTTTTGGTGATTTTTACACTAGTTTTTGATTTCAAAAACTGACAATCTTTAACAGGATAAAGCTTATATTCAAATGATCTGATTGCAAGAGGGAAAGATAAATATCCATACATATATTAGAGAATGTGTAGTGGGGATTAAGTGTAATGTGGATAAATGAACACAAGGCTTTTGGATTAAAACTTAGGTTCTAGCCCTGGCTCTGCCATTGACTTTATATGTGACTCAGGATGAGTCCCTTAACTTTTGGGGGACCTCAGTTACACTGTCTGTAAAAATTAAAACATCAATAGAGATTGATAGACGATTAACAAAGATGTAATTAAAATTAATAAAGTATAATCTTTATTTTAAATAAAAAGTCAGTTCTGCCAGAAAATGAGTAATAATTATAAAACTCACTGAATCATATCACCATTAAGCTTATCAATGAATATAGTATGCTGACCTAGGTGCTCAGTAAATATGTCCTGACTGAATTGGTTGAATTACTCCATGTGTAGGGTGCTGAGGCTTCAGTGTATGATATGAGGGGTTCAAGCTGCCTTTAACCTTTCTCCTGCTCTTCTATCATGGTACTATGCTCCTTTGGGTCTGGATCTGCAATGATCCACATGAGTTATTTAAAGAAGGCTGCTTGGAAAATGTCTGCATGCTCCCTATAAAGGTACTGGATACTATCATCTCAATCTCTGTTATCAATGCATTGGCTTAAATCCACTTATCAAATATCAGTGGTTTTGAGCTTAAAAGTAGAGAAACTGGCCCTAAGAAATGTTTTGATGGAGAGCAGTCCATGACAGGAACAAGTCTGTGCCAGCTAGAAAAGTCTGCTTAAAACTGTGGGTCTTGAATTGGATTTGGAGTCCAGGCAGTTTAGAGTTGTAGTATGTGCGACTCAGTCAGGTCTGAGGTGATGAAGCACTAGGGAGGAAGAACACAGGGTTTCTTCATATCTTTTTCAATTTTTATCTAGAAATGGGCCTGTATGCCTAATCAAACTTTTTACTAGACTTAGACTGTCAGAATTCAAAGTAACCTTAGGGATAATCTAGTCCAATTCCCTCATTTCACAGATGAAATACTGAAGCTCAGAGATAGAAGTGACATTCCCAAGTTCACACCACTGATTAATGATAAGGCCAAGACTAGAAGCCAAGTGTCCTATGTCTCTGACTAGTGCTGTTTTCCGTATACCCTGTTTTTTCTCAGCTTAAATGACCTGTCTTGAGAGTTTAGAAAGATAGAAAGTAAAACGGAATAGTTTTAATGTATATGGCTGTTCTAGGGGGAAAAAAAAGATGACGATGTGACTCCCAAACCAGAATCTATTTTTGATATCTTGCCAGATTGCTGTCCATAAAATATAATAAATAAAATAATTTTTAACAGGTGCCTAAGAATATTCACCATTTTAATAGAATATGTTTCTAGCCAGCTCGATTTGTCAGGTATTTATAATTAATCTGTAACCCTGTTCAGTAACTGAACTCTGTCCCTGCAGACTATTACTCTAGTTTGTCCTCACATATCTGCCCCACTCAGTTGGTGCTTGGGCAGTTGTGGTTTTGCCTTCACACACAACAAACTACCAACAAAGACCATAATTTTGTCACTTTGCATCTTCCTGCCAGGGCTTTTTCTCCTAGCCCTCATGACAGACCGCTTTGTATTATGAGGTCTCTGGAAATGCCTTTGGATTACTCATTCTCTTCTCAGGTCTGTTTCTCCCACTTTGTCACCCTCTCTCAAGGACAAAAGAATTTAAAAGTAACTTTAGTCTATTTTATCCCTACTACTATTTTTTAATCATTTTTAAAAACATTTATTGGGAAGTTCCAGTGTGCCTATAACCCTATTTACTAGGTACTAGAGACAAGAAGAAAAGGAATACTTTTTATTAAGCAACTGTTATGTGCCAAGCTGTCTTACTGGCCTTTCCTTAGGACATCTCATGTAATCTTAACAAGGTACCCTAGGAGTAGGCATAATTTAATTATTTATTTTATTCATTTTACAAGAGGAAGAAACTGATGGGATGAGGGGGAGGAGGAGAGAGAGAGAGAGAGAGAGAGAGAGAGAGAGAGAGAAAGCTGGTTCAAGATTCCACAGCTAATACTTGCATTTGAACTCAAGTCTCTTTGAAAGGATTCCCCAAAGACCTGTCAGTCTAGATGAGAAAGGTCTTGTTAAAAGGACTAGCTTAAAGCAAATTTGTATAGGTGGAAGCTATTATACCTTTTGCGTTAGGTCATTAAATAGGAAATGTCTGATTTCAAATCAAAAGTTTAGTTTATTACAGCTCAAACAAGAAGCAGTACAATTTATCAAAGCATGCACCCAAACTATCGACACAGTTTTGTCATGTTAACAGTAGCTTGTTTGTGCCAGCAATGAAGAAGCCTGGAGAGCGAGTGGCAATGAACTTACGAAAGGCTTTTCCCCCAGCTTGTTGAGAATTGAATGTTTTTCCTTGCAAGAAGGAGTCCAAAGCCTGGAAACAGTGGAAGTCAGTTGTTGCAAGGTCTGGTGAATACGGTGGATGACAGAGAGTTTCCAAGTCCAGCTTCTGTTGTTTGAGCAGCATTGTTTGTGCAACATGTAGTTGAGAATTATCTTGCAAGAGATTGGCTTCTCTCTATTGACCAATCTTGGCTGCTTAATCATAAGCATCCTCATCACTGCATCCAACTGGTTGCAGTAGACATACGCTGTAATCTATTGACCAGGTTTCATGAAGCTGTAGTGGATAATACCAGTGTTGGATCACCAAACAGACACCGTTAGCTTTTTTGGATGAATATTAAGTTTTGGTCTGTGTTTGGGCACTTCATCCTGATCCAACCTTTGTGCCAAACACTTGCCTTTGTCAAAAATAATCTATTTTAATCAATAAAAATATGGTGTAGAATTTATAACAATACCGTGTAGAAATGGTTCACCTTTATGTTGTGACAGCAAAGAAAGGCAAGCTTTGAGACAATTTCTCTTCTAACATTCATTTAACTCATGTGGTACCCATCTATGCAGCTTCTTTACCTTGCCCATTTGTTTCAAATGGTCCAATATCGTTGGAATAGTAATGTCAAACCCGGCTGCTAATTCACATGTAGGTTGAGATGGATTCACTTTCACTACAGCTTTCATCTCATCATTATCCACATTGCTCTCAGGTCGCCCACGTGGCTCATTTTCAAGATTAAAATCACCAGAACAGAACTTCTCAAACCTTGAACGCACTGTGCTGTGTGTTCATTAGCCACATCCTTCCCAAACATTTCATTGATATTTAGAGCTGTCTGTGCTGCATTGATTCCACGATGGAATTCATATTTTAAAATAACATGAATTTTTGACTTATCCATGGTTTCACAAAAATTTCTCAAGAAAAAACTTTGAAAGATAATCACAAGCCAAAGCATGCATTTGAAAGACTGAGGATGTACCTTCACAATAAACATAAAACAAGAAGTGTCACAGTGAAATGTCTGAGACATCAACTGTCAAACTTAGTACTTAATACCCTCATTAAGGGTATTAAGAAAACCGGAGATTTATACTTAATACCCTCTCCTCCCCTTTGTAGACTCCTTTGCCAACATGTATGATGCAATTAGGCTTTTCAGTAAATCCTATTATATTGCCCCACCTATGACTATCCCTAACTATGCTTCATTACTTTTCCCTTTCTACCAGGTAAAATATATCTCTCTTTGTGGTTTATCCCTTCAAATTTCTAAAGTGAAATCTAGCTCACATGACGGATTACAGTTAATAGGATAGTTTGTAAACCCTCCTTTTAGTATGTTCATTTTATCAGAAGATTCCTGGAGACCCAGTTCCCTAAATGATTGAACCTATAATGAGACATTTCAAGCAAGGTGGCAATCTTGGCCAAGAGATCATTAGGTAAAGTGGAGCAGAGGGAGGTGGGGTATGGTTTTTGCTGCCCTTATATAACCTACATAAGAAGCCATCTTCAAGCATTGCAGGGATATATGTAAGGCAGATTTGTGTAGAAATTAATTGTCTCCTACCACCAGCTGTGCTGACAGCCATTAGCCAATCTGGTCTCCCTTCATGTGTATTTACTAATCAATCAAAGTGATGTGGTCCTGAGAACACCTCAGAAAAGATCCCAACTGAGAAAAAGAAAACTTCTACCCTTCAACTGTGTTGTGGGTTTGACTAGATGCTGTGGGATTTTTCCAAGACAGCTCATCATAGTTAAGAGATCCTTGTGACCAGGGAATGAGTTGTGAACCCTGCCACTGACATTCCAACCTTCTCTCACTCTTCCCAAAGATTGCCAGGTCAAAGAGAAGTCAGATGGTAAAGAGATTCCTACATACTATACTTTGCTACCAGTAAGGGCTAAGTGTAATTCTCTCCATGCTCTCCTTTGCTTATGGTGATCCATTTTGGGGACCTCAGCATCCATCTGCTGAAATTTCCCAGCCCTCTGTGAGTGTATTCTCTGTGCTGCACTTGATCATTGATTTTCTATGTTCTTTCAGGCATGAATGAATTAATTGAGCCAGATTTCCTACCGCTTACTAAGGAGACCTTATTGCTCTGATTAAGGAGCTCCACCTGCACTGGAAAAAAACAGTAGGTACTCAAATATGGTCTTGACTTCTATTTTGGCATCCTTCCTAAAAGAATATTTTTCACCCTCTGGGCCCTAGACAGATACTGAGAACCCTCACTAGCTACCTGTTTCATATTTGGTGGTCCTTGTGGTAGATTACCATTTAATGGCCAGGTTCTAACAGTCTAGACATGCAATATTACAGAATATGAAAGGCTGTGGCTTTTGGAGTATTTGATAAAATGTGACATTCTTCTTATTAGTACCCTGACAAGTCCTATTGGAGCCTGAGACAAAGGGAAAATCAATCATCCTGATTCTGTCCTTATTATATTCATATTTTGTTCATCATTATTTGCATTCATTTTGATTTTTAAAAAAATACTTCATTTAAAACATTATTTATCTTCACTACTGAGTTTTTTGGCAACCTCTTAAATTTTGTTTCCAAGGAAAGTTCCTCATTCATCTCACCCTAGTCTTGGCCCTGTTTTTATAGGCTATTTGACCTATTTCTTAGGCTTTAGAGGGGAAACTGAGAAGCCACACATACAATAGTGTAATGTGTGTTTGTGTTTAGGAAGTAGATGCTATTTGCTGAGAAGGAAAATTATAGTAGGTATACATGAATCATTTGAATATCAGGCAAGTGTTGTCTTTTTATTGATTGGTAAGTCTCAGACTGGGGACAGATTTTGAAGATGCAGATTTCAGAGTAGAAAGTGTTTGTTATGTTTGCTTTTGGGCTTCTTTGTCTGGGGCCTGTTCTTAGAAGAAGTGTGTTACCCAAGCACCAGCTTTGACATCTAATCATTGTAAGGGAAAATATCTAGTCCTTAAGCCCAGTTTAAAAATCATGGGCAAAATGATTTCACAAATCACTTAAACATGGGGGGAAAAAGACCCTAACAATGGTAATGTTATAGTATATCTCTAACAAGGTAAGGGTTTTAACAACCAATACAACTGCTGTAGTGCACATACCCTCTGTGTATGAATGTGTGCATTATTAACCCAAGCATTTAATATTAATATAAGAGTTTATATGTATCTGAATGCCACAATGAAGGCACTTCATCCTTTCTTCCTAATTGCACTTTCTCATAAATGGGGAAAGAGCCTCTGCTTTAGAGGGGAAACTGAGAAGCCACACATACAATAGTGTAATGTGTGTTTGTGTTTAGGAAGTAGATGCTATTTGCCCTGACTTGATCCTTTTGACCACTTGATCCTTTTGCCCTGATGTAATCAGGATAAGTACAGTGAAAGATCAATGAGACAGGGAGAAAAAATTAGTCACCTGTCCAAAGCATGTTATGTTTGTTACATTCATGTATTAGTGATTTGTGATTAGTGGAGTACACAAACAGTGCATACTTCTATTGTCAAGAGTAATCATCCATTGGCTCAAATGAAGTACTACAACTCTGTTGGGGATATTAACAGGTGAAATTTCTGGCTGATATTTGCATCCCTGTTAAGATGCAAAATTCAAATTAACTAGGGCAAATTCAAGTGCATTTTTATTTATTAGGAGCCATGAAAATCCCTGATCAAGGTATGACCTTTAGCTTGAGAGACATAGAGAGAGAGAGAAAGCAAGAAAGCGAGACCTAACTGCTACTACTAGCAAACAAACAAAAAACCAAAATGAAACAAACAAAAACAACACGACTTTTATTAATAGATGTGTAAAAATATCCATGTAAATTTCCTAAATTATTTCCTCCTGAAGACATTAGCCAGCATTCAGTCTTTGGTCACAGTATTTATGTAAGCATACAATAATTTTACACTATTTGAAATGCCAAGAATCTGTTTATTTTATTTAACATATTTATATAACACTTATTACCGAACTCTCAAAATATTAACTCATTGAATACTCATAGAGGTAGGCATTATTATCATATCACTTAACAGATGAGACAACTGAGACACAGAAATGTTTAAGTAACTTGCCCAGAGTCACAGAACTAGAAAGTAGCAAATCCAGGGTTCAATCCAGGAAGATTGTCTCCAGAGGCCATGCTCTTGCCCACTACAAGTGATGCTTTATTATTTTAAAACTATTTGCATATTTGTAATAATTATATATATACATATAAACACATAGATATATCAGTTTAAGACACAAGGCTATTTAAAACCCAGAAGTAAAATGACAAAATATAAGAACTACAATTGCCCTTAAAAGTTATCTGGCTTAATGTCCTCACTTATATGTGGGAGCTAAAAAATCTGATCACATGAAGGTAGAAAGTAGAAAGACAAAAAACAGAGACTGGGAAGGGTGAGTAAGGGGGAAGTTGGAGGATGAAGAGAAGTGGGTTAAATGGTACAGGTATACAGTTAAATAGAAGGAATAAATTCAATGCTTGATAGTAGAGTAGGGTGACTATAGTTAAACAAAAATATATTGTACTCAAGAGATGAACACCCTAAATACCCTGACTTGATCACTACACATTATATACCTTTAACAAAATTTCACATGTATCCCATAAATTTGTACAAATAAAAAATATCCCAAACTATTTTAGCCTTTGAAAATACTCTATATTTGAGCCTTGTTTATCATCATATATATTTTTAACATGGATATATAATTCTAAATTCTGTTCCACTGGAAGGAATTGGCAAATCATTATGATATTGACATTTTTAGTAATACATTTTTACTTTTACATGTAATTGCTACTAAAGAAAAACTCTTAACCAAGGAATATGAATATTATGTATATTTTTCTAAATTTTGCCTGTTAGTATGGTAGAATTAATGTGTTTTTAAAATGCCTAAATATGTTTTTAAATTATCAATAACTATAATTCTACAGCAATTTTTAAAATAAATTGTTTAAGTTTTTAAATAAAAAAGTTATCTGGCTTAATATACTCATTTCAAAGAAGAAATGGGGATCCAGAGAAATTAAATGACTTGCCCAGGGACACACAGACATTCATTAGCAGAGGTGGAACAAGAATTCAAGACTTCTTATTCTTAATCCAGTACTCTTTTCACTACACTAAGTTGCCTTTGCTATGACTAATTTAAATAAATACATCACAATTTATATTTTCAAATAAATGTCACCTTCCACATGGTTACTTTTCAAAGCTATATGCTTATCTAAGTGATGCTGTAATTCACCAAATAGTCTCATAGTCTTTGCAATTATCTTTGGAATTGGTTTCAGCCAATCAAGAAAAGTGAATTTTAAAAGAGTATATAGGCCGGGCGTGGGGGCTCACGCCTGTAATCCTAGCACTCTGGGAGGCCGAGGCGGGCAGATTGCTCGAGGTCAGGAGTTCGAAACCTCCCTGAGCGAGACCCCGTCTCTACTAAAAATAGAAAGAAATTAATTGACCAACTAAAAATATATATACAAAAAATTAGCCGGGCATGGTGGCGCATGCCTGTAGTCCCAGCTACTCGGGAGGCTGAGGCAGGAGGATTGCTTGAGCCCAGGAGTTTGAGGTTGCTGTGAGCTAGGCTGACGCCATGGCTCTCACTCTAGCCTGGGCAACTAAGTGAGACTCTGTCTCAAAATAAATAAATAAATAAATAAGTAAATAAATAAATAAAAGAGTATATATAGTTAATTGATACCAGAGTAGTGCGACTATAGTTAACAACAATGTGTCATATTTTTTTCAAAATAGCTTGAAGAGAAAACTTAAAATGTACCCAGTACATAGAAATGATAAATGCTCAGGTGATGGATACCCTAAATATCCTGACTTGATCATTGCATATTCTATGTATGTAATCAAATTTCACATATACTCCATAAATATGTACAAACATAATGTATCCAAAAAATTTTTAAAAAACATTATGATCATACCTTGCTTTAGACCAAAAATGGCATTTTTCTACTTAATCTCTAACTCCGTTGTTAACACTGGCTCTGAATGGCATTGTTTCTAAAAATTCAACTACTGTCATAAAACAATAATTTCTCATTCATAGGATTGATTATTCTAAAGACTATCATGCAAGATCTGAGTAATTCTAAAGGAGAATTTCAAAAATTTCAAGAGCAGTCAGAGTATAATTGGAATAAATATGTAGCCCTTCAAAGTGACAACTTAGGAGAGGTGGACTCATTTTGATTCTTGCTTTCTGATAGGCTTATTTAAATATATATATATATATATATATATATATATATATATATATATATATATCACTATGGGGAATCCCATGTTCTAAAAGTTTCCGTTAACTAGTATGAATGTGTAGTGTTTGTGTGTGTGTGTGTGTGTGTGTTGTGTTTCTTGGGTGACTTTCCTCAGATACAAAGGTGCCAAGTGAAGAATACTACACATCCTCCCAGGAAAATGAGATTTCTTAGATTTATATACCTTGGTGTGGTATGTAGGCTAGGTTGCTAGCATAATCGGAAAGGCTGTGAGGATTTAAAAAATCAGGTAGATAGAGTTAGAAATAAAGCAAAACAGATAGATCAGAACAATGTTGCAGGAAGGGTTAAATGAACTTGGTAGAAATCTAAATAGGAGGCAGAGAAGAGGGAAGGTGGGGACAATTATAAAATCTTCTCACTTAACTTAAAACATTGAACTATTGGTGGTATCACTGATGTTCCCAATGTTAAGGACAGGGAAAGAGATGGGTCTCGATTTTAGATAAATTTGTTGTTAGAATTGCTAGCTATTTATTTTAACCTTCTTGATCCCATTGTGAAGGCTTGTCTAAAGGACTGATGGATAGATATGTAAGTAGGCAAATAGATTAGAGACTAATCACAGGACAAATGTTAAAAGTGCATGACCATTTGATGGTCACCTTAAAATTAAAATAACCAGACTTTGAATATTTGTAATTACACTATCACTGACATAATTGCTGAAACAAACAATTGGCCCTCCAAACTGTCAAAGAGTTACATTTCTAATCTCTGTGAACCTGACATATACTTAACTTGATAAGTACAGTGGGGACATCTGAATTGAAGTTATTTGCTGTGGCTTAGAGGTAAATGCCATAACTCTTATA